GGTACTGCGACTGGGGGTGCTGAGCCTGGGGGTGCGGAGTCTTGGGGTGCTGAGCCTGGGGGTGCTGTGACTGGGGGTGCTGAGCCAGGGGGTGCTGCGTCTGGAGCTACTGAGCCTGGAGCTACGGAGCCTGCGGCCACTGGACCTCCCCTTGTGGCGTCTGGCGGTGCGGGACCTGGCGGTTCTCCGGGTGCTTCGCCTCGGCGGGAGCCCCTCTCTCCACAGGAGCTGCGCGAGTGGTTTGCTCGCCGCTGGAGACGTACTGCTGGAGCTGGAGCTCCTTCGGCAGCTGAGGGTACTTGTGCCGCTGGTCCCGGAGCTGCTGGGCCCTCGGGTCCGCCTGGAGCTGGATCTGCCGCGGGTGTTGGTGCTGAGACTGCTCCTGTCCTTCCTGGCGGTGGTCCTGCTGCGGGTGCTGCTGGTGCTGCTGGAGGTACTGGAGCTGGAGGTGCTGTTGGCGCTGGTGCTGCTGCTGAGGGTGCTGTCCCTGCTGTGTCTGGAGTCGCCGCGCGGCCTCGGCCGTACTTCGTTCCACTCCTACAGCAGGTTCTTGGTCTTTCTCCTCCTGCAGCGTGTCCACAGCCTGTTCAGTCACAGTCCCAGTTAGAGCCCGCCTCCCCACTTCCTGCTCCCTCTCCTTACACTGGTCCCACTGGAGGTCTTGCTGAGCGTCGTGAGCCTGCGTCTCGTCCTGCGTCGCCTGTTCGTGCTGCTCGCGCTAGTGGTCGCGGTTCGCGTCAGCGTCCTCCTCCTGTCCCTGGCACGCACCGGATGTCTTTGCGTCCGTCCACTGCTCCTCTGCGTGCCCCTTTGCCTTCTCCTCCTGAGTCCTCCCTTCCTGCACTTTCCGACCCAGAGTCCGACTCTCTTCGTGCTGCTAGTCCTACTGTCACACGTCTCCTTGCTACTGTCGTCACTGACCCCTCTTTTGAGTCCACTGCTGCGTCTGCTCTTGTTGCTGAGCTCGTCGACTTTGCTGCTAGCTGTCGTCTAGACTACGCTGCCGGTCTTGTTGCTGAGTCTGCGTCTGTCTGTCCTCCGTCCGTCGGGGGTGAGTGTGCTCTTGGCACGGACGTCCTTGAGGACAGGCAGGAGGAGTTCCAGTGTCTGGCTGCTGCTTCACCTCATCTCGCGTCCGTACTACTTGCCCCTGAGGGAGACCCGGATGCACTAGACATCCCGACTCCGCGCTCTTACGCGGAGGCCGTAGAGGGTCCCTACTCCTCTCAGTGGCAGGCAGCTATGGATGCAGAGATGGCGTCCTGGAAGTCCACAGGCACCTACGTTGACGCGGTTCCCCCTCCTGGGGCGAACATCGTCAGTGGCATGTGGATCTTCAGGGTGAAGCGGCCGCCGGGCTCTCCACCTGTCTTCAAGGCGCGGTACGTCGCTCGTGGCTTCAGTCAGCGGCAGGGAGTTGACTACTTTCAGACTTTCTCTCCCACCCCGAAGATGACAACTCTTCGGGTGCTGCTGCACATAGCCGCTCAGCGCGACTACGAGCTCCACTCTCTTGACTTCAGCACTGCTTTCTTGCAGGGTAGCCTGCACGAGGAGATCTGGCTGCGCCGTCCACCTGGCTTCACTGGGACTTTCCCTACTGGCACCCAGTGGAGCCTCCGACGGCCAGTCTACGGTCTCCGCCAGGCACCGCGTGAGTGGCACGACACACTGAGGACTACGCTTGCGGCTCTTGGGTTTGCTCCCTCTACGGCTGACCCGTCGTTGTTTCTGCGCACCGACACTTCTTTGCCGCCGTTCTACATCCTCGTGTACGTCGACGACTTGGTCTTTGCCACAGCTGACACTGCTGGACTAGCCTACGTGAAGTCCGAGCTACAGAAGAGACACACGTGCACAGACCTGGGTGAACTGCGCAGCTACCTTGGCTTGCAGATCACTCGGGACAGAGCACGCCGCACCATTACCTTGACTCAGTCACACATGGTGCAGCAGGTCCTTCAGCGCTTCGGCTTCACGTACTCCTCGCCTCAGGCCACTCCTCTGTCTACTCGCCACTCGCTCTCAGCTCTGCCTTCGGATGAGTCCGTAGAGTCGAGTGGCCCGTACCCAGAGCTTGTTGGCTGCCTCATGTACCTGATGACCTGCACACGACCTGACCTTGCATACCCTCTTAGCATTCTTGCACGCTATGTTGCTCCTGGGAGACACCGACCAGAGCACATGGCTGCAGCGAAGAGGGTGTTGCGCTACTTGTGCAGTACGTCGGGCATGGGGCTAGTGCTTGGAGGGCGGAGTCCAGTGGTCCTCACTGGGCACGCGGACGCTTCTTGGGCTGACGACCAGGCTACGCAGCGGTCGTCGCAGGGTTACACCTTCAGTCTTGGTTCCGGCTCTGTCTCGTGGCGGGCTACTCGCTCGTCCTCTGTGCTCGGCTCCAGTTGTGAGGCTGAGATCTACGCCGGGGCCATGGCTGCACAGGAGCTTCGCTGGCTCACCTACCTGCTGACTGACCTTGGAGAGCCGCCTCGTTCTCCTCCAGTGCTGTACGTAGATAACAAGGCCATGCTGGCCTTGTGTCGAGAGCAGCGCTTGGAGCACAGAACGAAGCACATTGCTCTTCGTTACTTTCTTGCTCGTGAGCTGCAGCAGCATGGTCAGTTGCGACTTGCGTACGTGGCCTCTGAGGCCAACACTGCTGATGTGTTCACCAAGGCACTTGCGCCTTGTGACCATCAGCGCTTCTGCACTCAGCTGGGTCTTGTACCTGTCTTGCCTCACTTGCTCTCCTCTTGACCTTGCTTGTACTGTCACATATATATACCTGCTCTTGCTTGTCTAGCTCTATATATATATGTGCACTCCTGCATGTGAACTGGCCTTGTGGCCTTGTCGTTGTGCTCGGACTGTGTGGTGACTTTGTGATCCACCCTGAGCTTGCTGTGCTTTGCGTGACTGGTCTTGTGACCCCTTGTTCTCCCCCACTTTGCCTATGGGGGTGTGTCAGAACATATATATAGCTTATGCAGTTGTGTAGGCTATAGTGGGGTATCCCATAGGGGGTACAACCCAATTATGGTTTCCTATATGTACTCACTTCATTCATAGTTCATTCATTCTTGTTCAAACTTTCTCAGACGGGGCAAGTAGTGCTGCGACTTCAGTGGAAAGATTTGTCGAGAGAAGATGCGTAACGGCGGAGTGGAGGTGCCCTAGTACCTCGATGTTACTTAGCGCTGGATCGCGGTAGTGTTCGAAAGTTGACCCCGATGGGCCAGCCCCAATTCCCCTGGGGCATTCTCCAAGGACGTCGGAAAAGCGTTCCAGAGTGGTTGAGAATTGCGTGGGTGTGGTGTAGGAATGCACCCCCTCGGGCAGGTCATTTTGGGGTTGGGGGTGTTTCGATTCCAGCTGCTGTAGTGTCGCAATTGTCGCAGGTGCTGAAGGCGAGGGTTGTAGGGCTGCTAACGCCTTTCGCAGGTTACCCCGTTTCACCAACCCCTCCGCACGTGAGCAGATTCCCAGTGGGTCACGTTGGTGCTGAGGTGGTTCGGCCAGGTGCATTGACCCCAAGTAGTCAGTGTACAGCTGGGTCCAGTGGCCACATCGGAATAGATGCATCTGTTCCCGCAGCAGTTTCCATCTAGAGCTGGATCTCCGGCTAAGTCTTAGCGTGAGACGTGGCAGGAACATGAGGACCCGCCATGCTCCCGCGCAGTTAGGCAGCTTGGAGATCCGAAGTAGGGCAGCCAGCATACAGGTGGAGTAGTCGCTGAGGATCTGCGGCGGCAGTCGGCGGACGATTGGTAGGTGGGTGGTGGAGGTTAGGAGTGTAAGGTCCCAAGTCATCGCGATCTGGAAAAGATCCTCCCGCGAGGCCAGCTGGGATGCCGATAGTGCCTGGTCCGGGGGAAGCTGAGCCCTGCGATGCTGTCTGTGGCCGGTTCCTCTCTCCTGTTGCTGCGCTTGCCCCTCTCCTTGTTCCGCGTGAGGTGAGGCGGGATCGTCTGGTTGCCTCAGATCTGACGGTATATAATCGTCTCCACTCCCCTCTGTGTTGATATCCCTGTTTCTCCCCGCTTGCGCTGGTGTTCCTCCCCTCGCCCCCCGCCTGGCGAATGACTGGCGCGTGACTCGTTCCGCCGGCTCCCCCAACCAGATTGGGCTCGGCAACTGGCAGGGCGGTCCCCTTCCCGCTTGGCCTGCGCTCCTCTGCCCTCCGCGCGCTCCTCGTCGCCCGCCTCTCCCCCGCGTGCTTCCCCGTCCGCTCCGCGGGGTAGCTGCCACAGGTTCCGCCTGTTGCGCCTGGGAGATCGGCGTTGTCGGCTCCTCGTGTGCCAGTGGAGTGTCTTGAGCGTTGGCCAATGGATTTCCTTGGCGCTCTTGGCCGCGACTGCACCGCGGAGAGCGATCCTGCTCCCCGTCCGCTTCCTCCTGCACGCCCTGCCGCGAGCGTGCCTGTTGCTCCGCCGACGTCCGCTGATCAGATCCGCCGCCGCTTCGAGGACCAGCGGCGCGAGTTGGCTCCGCGCGCGGGCAGGTCCTTGTCACCGCGGGAGCCCCCGCGCGCGGGGTCCATCTTGCGCTCCGGCGCAGAGGCTGTGGCGCACCAGGAGCGTTCGCCTCGCCGTCGCTCATCGGCAGCTCGCGACGATAAGCGGGAGAGCCGCTGCGATGATCGTCACGGTGCGGCCCGTTCGCCGCTGTCGCCTCGTTCGCCTCGTCGCGTGGCGTCGCGAAGCCGATCCCGTGACCGCCGTTCGCATCGTCATCGTTCGCCCCCTCACCGTTCATCTCGCCAGCGGTCGCCTGCCCGCCAGACGTCTGGGCGTCGGCCCCCAGCTCTGCGTTCGCCCCCTCCTGCAAAACGCCAACGGCTCTACTCCCCTCGTCGCGGGGACCGTTTTCCTGGCCGCCAGCGTCAGCAGGGCCCATCTCGCCCGCAGTCGCCTGTGCGCTCGAGCGCAAGTGGGCGTGCACGTCGTGGGCAACGGGGGGGTGACAGTCGCGGCGGAGAAGCGCGTCCAGCGCCGTCCGCAATGGAGCGCCGTCTTCTGGATAGGCTTGATGACGTGGAGAAGAAGCTTCGTCGCTCGCGTGCGGGGTCGGCGTCACCATCAGCTCCTCGCGCTGCTCCCGTCGTCCCTCTCTCCGCGCTCCTGCCCCACAATCCCTTTGGATCCCCGGCGCGTTCAGAGCGGCCGCTACCTGCGGGGATGGGCTTCGTAGGTGCTGGTGGCGGGCCGCCGTGGGCTCAGTTTGCTCCGCCGCGTCCTCTTCCTGCTCCGCGTGATCTCGCCGTGTCGTCTCACCGTGCCCGCGCGTCTGCGTTACTTCCGTTGATGAAGGAAGTTCCCACGGCGACCCTGGCCCGCCTATGGTCGCTGGCGGCGTCCCTGCAGAGCCTTGAGCGGATTCTCCAGGAGTCATTTGACTCCATGCCGATGAGCCCTACGAGCAGGTTCTCTCAGAAACCGCGAGCAGATTGTCATGCGGCGGCGTCAGCGCTATTCGCGCTCGTAACGCCACTGCAGGTAGCGCCCTCGCCGGGAGCAACCTCGGCCAGCCAGCTGGCTGACTCGGCCCTGGCTCTGAGGACGCTTGTAGCAGGCCCTGGTACTCCTGTTGACGTTGTAGGCGCCACCGTGTCTGTGGTCCGCCAGTTGTGGTTGAACACGAGCGGAATGCTCGCTGCGGTAGAGGCGGACCGCATGTAGGCGCTCCCCCCTTGCGCGTATAGACCCGTTCCATCCTCTACTTGCTAAGTGTCTATGCTTGCTTTGTTTGTATTGGTTGCCTAAGCTACTACTGCTTGTTGTTTCCCCTTGCCATCTCTAACGCGCGGCCGAAGGCCGCGCACGCGAGCGCCGGCAGCCGAAGGCCGCCGGCGCGAAGCGCCAAAATTTTCAGCACTAACTGAAAGAATGAGAGATGGAGAGGCCGCCGTGGCCTTAAGTAGTCATGGCAGAGGGTAGAAAGCAGAGGGCAGAGGGTAGAAGGGGAGAGGCTAATCCTCTCTCTCTCTCGCTCTCTCGAACAACACCAAAATTTTCAGCACTAAATGAAAGAATGAGAGATGGAGAGGCCGCCGTGGCCTTAAGTAGTCATGGCAGAGGGCAGAAAGCAGAGGGCAGAGGGTAGAAGGGGAGAGGCTAATCCTCTCTCTCTCTCTCTCTCTCTCTCTCTCTCTCTCTCTCTCTCTCTCTCTCTCTCTCTCTCTCTCTCTCTCTCTCTCTCTCTCTCTCTCTCTCTCTCTCTCTCTCTCTCTCTCTCTCTCTCTCTCTCTCTCTCTCTCTCTCTCTCTCTCTCTAATGGCCCTTTCATTGATAGTCGAGGTGTACAGACATGCAAGGTATTGGTATCACACGTAACAACCGGCACAAATAAAAACCTCCTACTCCTCTTGCAACGCCGCCACCCCCCGTGTCCCCCTCTAAGGGAGATCCAGTGTGGGGTCAAGGACCATGAGGCAGTCCCCAAGTGACGGGGCCTCACCCACTGCCTCAGGCAGTGGGTTTTCTACTGCTGCCGCGATGTTGCATTTGTCTAGGTACCCGACTGACTGCCCCCTTTCAAGAGCCACCGACCACCGCTGCCGATATTGGTGTAAGAGCTTGGCAGCTTGGTAGGAGGTTGGCTCGGCGTTGAAAAACCGCCGTGCAGCCAATTCTGCGAGTAACTTCAGGAAGTCCACTGTCTCGGGGCATGGGCACCCGTATGTCTCGACCGCGAGCGGGAAGAACTTAACCCCCTCCGGTCGGTCCTTGTAAAGGCCGTGCTTTTTATCCGCTGCTTCCCGTGCCGCCCATCCCCGCCCTTTGGTTGCATTCTTGTCCCGGGTGCTAATGGGATCTGTGACCGTCACGTCGCAGATGTAGACGGCGCTAGTAGAGCGGTCACGTAGGGCTAGGTCGGCCTTCTCTCTCTCTCTCTCTCTCTCTCTCTCTCTCTCTCTCTCTCTCTCTCTCTCTCTCTCTCTCTCTCTCTCTCTCTCCCTCCCTTCCCCTCTCTGCCTACGCCCTCTCTCACTCCACACCAGTTTCGACCTGGCCACCCATCGCCTGACAGGCAGCAATGACCTCAACCTCGTCAACCTCTTCCTGCGCCTCTTCGGCCCGTGCACCGAGGAGCAGCTCTGCATTCACCTTCTTCTCATCCTCATCCTTTGGGAATGATTCAGATTCCTCGCTCGTTCCCACTTTGCCTTCCCTTCTGGATATAAAATGTTTTGAGCGTACTTCGCCTCGCACCCTACTCCATGCCCCTTGTAGCACTCTCGCAGGTGGTACAGACACCAGTCCTTGCACTCCCACTTGCCATACTTGCAACTCTCGAATGACCGGTACGCCTTGCGTGATAACTCAATCAACGGGAGCTAGACTACGGGCTAGCCACGGGGCTAGAGTGATCTCTGCGTTCATTCCCTTAGTCGTTTCCTTGTGTCCTCACTACTTGCTAGTTCACGGGGAGAATTAGCAAGAGTTTCACTAGGAAAAGTTGACAGCAATGATTCAGAAGAATGACGACAAAGTTGGCAAGACTGACTACATCAGAACTAGCATGCAGGTCGGTCGACTGCCAGCGCAGCACGGTGGACCGCGTTCCAGCACGACTTGGTCAACCGCGCTCCAGCAGAGCAAAGTCGCGGCCTGCCAGTACTGCAAGTCGACGGCATGCCAACGCTGCAGCAAGGCGGCTGCACAGTGTTGCACCCGCAGGACAGCAGCGCACCCGCTTCTCAGGTGCTTGCAGATGATTGGCGGGCTGTGTCTTGTCACCTGCACGGCGCACAGCTACGTCGACCTCGGGATACCACACCGAGAGGTAGGATCTACGAGTTTGACAACGAGATGATCTCCAAGGTAAGCCCAAGGGTCCCAAGATAGGCAAGCCCCGGGATCCCATCCGAGGGTCCCGTGTGACTGAGGGTCACGAGGTGAGCATTCTGGAAGAGAGGGATTTTAAAAGGCAGGATTTATGGCATTGACAATGAGATGATCTCTCCAAGGTACGCCCGAGGGACCCAAGGTAGGTAAGCCCGAGGGCTTCGACGGTCCCGAGTCGACGTGGGAGGTTCTCGAGGTGAAAATGAGATGATCTCCAAGGTAAGCCCAAGGTTTTCAAGGTCCCAAGGTTCCCGAGGTACCAGAGGGTTTCGAGGGTCCCGAGGTTCTTGAGGTGAACAGGCTCAAATACGGCGACTCGCCAAAGCTGTGGAAGAGAGCGTTTACGAGCGGCAGGATGTATGGGATCGACAATGAAATGATGGTGTCTCTTCCCTCTCTCTTGACCATGTTTATCCCACACCACTCATCCCTCACCTGTCCATGTCTGTCCCAAACCCATCCCCTGTTCTCTTCGCTTCGCCGCTCGTCTCCGCAGAAGCAACAGGCGGAGGCGAGGGATCCGCGGGTGCGGCTGATGGCTTCCCTTGGCAGCTCCTTTGCGCCATCCCTGGCCGCTCCTTTGCGCCATCCGCTCGCCTCCCTTGTGTCCCTCCCCTTTCCACTCCGCAGAAGCACCAGGCGGAGGCGAGGGACCCGCGGGTGCGGCTGATGGTGGGCGACCAGGCGAATGGGACATTCCTGGAGCAAGTGGTGGCTGAGATAAAGAGTGCGGTGAGGAGTGGTGGCCGAGATAAAGAGTGCGGTGAAGAGTGGTGGCAGAGATAAAGAGGAGTGGTGGCTGAGATATTTAGTGTGGTGAGGAGTGGTGCCTGGGGTGAAGAGTGCTGTGAGGAGTGGTGGCTGGGGATAAAGCGTTCAGTGATGCCTGATGTGGTAAGACGATGTTGAGTGTGATGTGGTGTGGTATTGCATGGCGAGGGTTGGGGTTAAACTAGAGGTCGGATGGGATGGGATCACTTGGGTGGGGAGGGGAGGGGAAGAGAGGGGATGGGATGGTATGGGATGTGTTGGGGGGAAGGGAAGGGAAGGAAACGGAAGGGAAGGGAAGGGAAGAGAAGGGAAAGGGATAAGATGGGATGGGATGGGATGGGATGGGATGGGATGGGATGGGATGGGATGGGATGGGATGGGATCATGGGATGGGATGGCATGGGATGGGATGGGATCATGGGATGGGATGGGATGGGGTGGGATGGGATGGGATGGGATGGGATGGGATGGGATGGGATGGGATGGGATGGGATGGGATGGGATGGGAGGGAATGGGTTGGGATGGGATGGGGTGAAATGATGGAATAAGCCATATGTGTGTGCTGGTGGAAAATTGTGCGATACTGCTATGTAAGTCAGATTCACGCAGATATAATGAAGCAGTGGCATAGGAAGGATTCTATTTGAATGGCAGTGGAAGGGCATGGAATGAATGGCAGTGGAATGGCATGCGTTTGAATGGCAGTGGAATGGCATGCGTTTGAATGGCAGTGGAATGGCATGCGTTTGAAATGCTATCTTTTGAACTCTTTCTCTTACTTGGGCTGCCCCTGTCCTTGTTATTGTGTTGTGACTCTTTTCTTGTCATTGTATCAACTCCCTTCTTATTATTGTGTTGTGACTCCATTCAGGTGGGTCTGCTTGACTTCATAGTGGACGATGGTGGTCACACCATGGATCAGCATCAGACATCCCTCAAACACCTCCTACCACTTGTCAAGGTATTTTGTGCCTCTAGTTTTGGGGTGACTTTTGAGTCGACTCCAAAATCCTTTTGCTGCTAATCAGGGCATTCCGTGCTTCTGGTTTTGGTTTATCTGGCTGTTACCCAACACATGCATACCACTCCTGTGTCGTACTTTGATTGCCCATCTTCAAGTTGCAACTTTGGTTCTCCTTCCTTCTCCTCCTCCCTCGTCCTCGTGTCTCTCTCACTTCTCAACTCCTCTCTCCCTCCAGCCTTGCTTCCCCTGCAATCCCTCTCTCGTTCTTCTCCTCCTCACTGTCTGCCCAACTTCCGCATGACTCCTCTCAGCCCTCCCCATCTTCTCCCGCTTCCCTCCGCCGTCGCTCCGTTTCCCCTCTTCCATCCGTCCTCCCGCTCCCGCCACTCTCCTCCCCCCCCCCCCCCACTCCCACCCCTCCATGCTCCACCTTGTTCTCTCATAAAGGCACGGTCTTTCTGGTAATAATAATTTCTGGGGCCTGACTTTTGTTTACCACTTCCCTCCCTCCTTCCGACTCTCCTACTCCCCCATTGTTTTTACCCAGCCTGGTGGAATTTATTTTATAGAGGATCTGGAGACATCGTACTACACCAAATGCCACATTACAGGGTGCTACGAAGGTGACCCCCCTGGTCTCAACACCACAACGATACACGTTCTCAAGAAGCTAATGGACGTGGTAAACCGTGACTATTTTGAGAAGCAGGCTTATATCAAGAGGGCCGCAAGTGAGGAATTTTACACTACTCCTGTGGAGGATTTGGTGGGCACAGTACACTGCATGAGGAACATTTGTGCGCTTAGACGGAAATCTAGTCCTTGGTATTAGCACAAGCAGGATATTTTAGTCTAGTGAGTTGACACCTCTACTTGGTTAGTTACGGTATCTGGATACGAATGTATGTAGACCAGTTTTGTACTTACCAGATTTGTACTTGTTACAGCTGCAATTGGCTTATTCACCAGGCACTGTAATGCAGACTGGAGAGGTATTGTAGTGAAACAAAACAAGTATTCAGTGTACCAGGTCGTTATATCCTGCACCTCAAACTACTAGAACCAGCGACTAGATCTACGCCTAAGAGCGCAGATATTGCGAATGCAGTGTACTGCTCCCACCAACTCTTCGACTGGAGTTGCATAAAACCCCGGACGTGTTACATTCCGGTAATACGCCTGCTTCTGAAAGAACTCCTTATTCATCACATCTATAAGCTCTTTCATTATGTGTATAGTTGTAGTGTTCAAGCCAGGAGGACCGCCCCTGTAACACCCTGTAACGTGGCACTTGGTGTAGTACGACGTCTCCACATCCTCGATAAAGTACGTCCCCCCAGGCTGATAAGATTCGATGAAGGATGGGAGGCAAAGGGAGGGGAATTGACATGGGAACGAGAAGGAAGCTTGAAAAGGACGTGGGGCGAAAGGAGGTGGGGATGAGAAAGGTGCCCTCTTTCTGTTTCAGCATCCCTGCTGCGACACGTCCGTCCTCCCATGCAGGAAGAGGAATGTATGGGAGAAGATTGCAACGATATGAGGGAAAGGCTCTGGTAGAGGGAACCAGGAGGAGAATGGATATGGTACATTTGTAAAAACTGCAGAGGAGAGAAACAAGGGTATAAGTTGCAGGTAAGATGGTAGAGGAAAATAAATAAAAAAGTAATACGTTTATAAATACTGCAGAGAGGAGAAAACGGGTAGTGGTTGCAGGTAAGCTTAGTTACTCTCAGTGAATGAAGGTATTTTCTAAGGTACCTTGACAAGAGGAAGGAGGTGTTTGAGGGATGTCTGTTGCTGATCCATGGTGTGACCACCATCGTCCACTATGAAGTCAAGCAGACCCACCTGAAACGAGTCACAAGACAAAAATCAGTTATGAGTCAATGCAATAACATAAAACGAGTCACAACACAGTAATGAGGACAAGGATACCCAAGAATAGCAGAATGAAATGACTAACATTATAGGGCAATCACGTAGCACACGCACACCATGTCATGCACAATATGCTATGCAGACCATACCATGCACCATGCCATGCACCATACCATGCACCATACCATGAACCATCCCTTGCACCATGCCATTCACCATACCATACACCATGCGATGCACCATGCCATGCATACCATACATTTTCTAACCAACATAACCATCAGTGCCATCTTCACCACCCCATGATATGCAAATCCATCCCCTTGCCGACCATGCCACCTAGAAACTGCATCTCACCATTCTATCACACCTCCTCTCTTTATGGCAGCCATCCATCCTCACGACTCTCCATTTCTCAGTCACCACTCTTCACTGCGCTCATTTTCTCAGCCACCACTACCCACCGCACGCTTTCCCCATACATACACTCCTCACTACACTATTATTTCAGCCACCATTCCTCACCATACCCTTTACCTCAGGCACCACTCCTCACCGCACTCTTATCTCAGCCACCACCAATCCTCACCACATTCTTTATCTCTCGCACCACTTCTCACCGCTCTATTCATTTCAGCCACCACTACTCACCGCACACTTTATCTCAGCCACCACTCCTCACCACACACTTTATCTCACCACCGCTCCTCACAGCACTCTTTATCTCAGCCACCACTCCTCACCGCACTCTTTATCTCAGCCACCACTTGCTCCAGGAACGTCCCATTCGCCTGGTCGCCCACCATCAGCCGCACCCGTGGGTCCCTCGCCTCCGCCTGGTGCTTCTGTGGGGATGAGAGGGAGGAGAGAGAAAGAAGTAATAATCATGGACGCGCAAAAGGAGGTGGGGACGAGACCCACCATCAGCCGCACCTGCGGGTCCCTCGCCTCCGCCTGGTGCTTCTGCATCCATGAGAGACAAAGTGGATGGGGCATGGGTGTGGGATGAACAGGGCGAGGAGGCAGGGAAGAGACACACCCGCGAGTCCCGCGCCTCTGCATGGTGCTTCTGAGGAAGCAGAGGCGTATAGATGGGGGTTGGGCATGAGATGGAACATGGAACAAACATGGACTGGACTCAGGATGCGGGGCGGAGACACCATCAGCCACACCTGTGGGTCTGCGCTTCTGCATGGCACTCGGAGACGGGTTTTTAGTCGACTAAAAAATCATCTTATCACCTGCGGCTGCGGGTCTGCGCCAATGCCTGGTACTTGGAGACGAAAGGCGAAAAGGATTGGGATGGGCATTAGACAGACAAGCACAGGCGAGGGATGTGACATGCGCATTGGACAGACACAAAAACGAGAGGAGATGGGGGTGGGAGAAGTACAGGCGAGGGATGGGTGTGAGATAGACTGGGACAGGGAGAGAAGAGGGTCGTGAGGTATTCAAAAAGAGGGAGGGGGCAAAGGAGGTGGGGAAGGTAAGCTATCAGCCGCACTCGACGGTTGAGGGCAGCAATTAAGTGATATTCCCTGGTGTTGCTGAGGGAAGCAGCGGGAAGGACACTGGACAACAAAGGGAATGGGATGGTTGTCCGCAGAAGTAACAACATCTGCATCTTTTTCTAAATAAGGGATTAGGGTTTAGGGTAACAAAATTCCGTTGCCGGGACTTGAACCCGGGTCTTTCGGGTGAGAGCCGAAAATCCTAACCGACTAGACTACAACGGAGATGTTCAGAACACTTTTTGTAACTTTGAGGATTCTAGTTTGTTCTCAAACACAGAGACCTTCACCTTTGAAATTACTCCGTTGTCGATGCCGTAGATTCTGCCTCTAGGAAACGCCCGCTTCCACAGCTTCAGCGAGTCGCCGTACTTGAGCCCGATCTCCAGCATGTTCACCTCGGGAATCTCCCACGCCGATTCCTTTTGCTTCCGCCCGCGTGATCTTCTGATGGTTTTGGTGTCATAAGATGGCCGCGGCAGGCGCAGCGGGTCGAGATAGAGGCTGTAGAAAGCACCGTAGTGATGCGTGCGCTTATCGGACGTGCCTTGGCTGACGATCTCTTCAAACGAGATGGAGGGCTGCAGTCGGGAGAAGCACGCAGAGGGAAATGGGTTTCGCTGATTTGGGATCCTTCTCCGAACAGCCAATGAAACATTATCAACTCAGAAAACTCCTCAGCTCCTCTTACGATGAGGCATCTGGCAAATGGAATACCTCTTGCACTGTACGCGGCGCATCGCGGCAATTCCCAAGAAGGTCAAGGGCGATGTACGCCCACGGAAGCAGGTAAAGGAGGGTCAATACGCCTCCCCCCAAGGCTAAAATCCACACTCCAAACTTGCCCATCTTCTGACGATCCTGCTGCGTACCTGCTCGCGTATCACTACTATATGCGCACACAAACCACAATGAGGAAAAGTACGAATGGTTGATTCCTCGTCCATATTAGGAACCGCTGAAGTTTTCCTGTTGTATGAAAGGAGCTGGCTGCTGACATTGTGTTGTTCTGACATGAGCGACGCGAGGGACGGAACGAGAAGTGAATCAGTGGCGCTCTGCTTGCGGTTGCAGCATGCATGGCTCCTAGGTAGTACTGCCGAAGCCATCCTCGACAAGATCTTAACTTTGAATGTACCGATAGGGGTTTACTGGAATGATTGGAACAATATACCGGTACGATACTCAGCTTATTTTGAACTGAACCTGAACCTGATGTTTCATGCAATCAAGATGTTGAATATGCTTTGACCTGTTAGACCGATCTCGGTCGGTGTACACCGTACAAGGGGTAAACTAGAACAGCGGAGAGGCCAATAACGGATGGACAAGAATCTATAATCAATGTTTTTTTGTTGACGGACGATCCCGTTGGTAGCCTTTTCAAAAAGTGCTTCTTGCAATACAAGCTTCGACTACCATGGCTCAAGCTTCTCAACCAGTCTCATTTTTACCTCAAATGTCTCTAGCTCGCTCGACCACGAAAACTGCTGCATCCCTTGCCTTTGCTTAGAGTTGTTAAGTAGCCTGATTGTGTAACTTGCCCCGTCATCTCTCCGTCTAATCGCCCACGTTATGTTAGAAACTAGCGAGAAGTGGTATGATGGATTAGGTAACCAGGGGGGGGGGGAGGGGGCGGGGGGGTACAAGAGTGTCGAGAAATGGGTTGGACCCTCTAAGGATAACCCCTACACAACCTAGAGAGATAGAATGCATACAATGTTTTGACACGTTATCGGCTTCCCAAGCTCACACTCCAGTCTCTGCTTAGCCGCTAATCTGCGAGCCTTGGACATCAGATCAAAGCCGCAGCTTGAGCGCGACGGCCTTGCTGTTGGAGCCGCGTGATGGCTCGCAGCCAAGCACAAGCACGGAGACCAAAGCCAAGCGTCGCGACGGCATATGACTCGAAAACCGTCGCTGATGGCAAACCAGGCGATGCTTCCGGTGACGTCATCATCGCTCCGCCGCTGAACAGATGGTCGCGGCGCGTCCGCGTGGGGATATTCGTGGCGTGCGTCCTGACTCCCGTTATAGCGGCGTTTGTCGTGATGGAGCTCGATCCGTTAGAACGAAGGTCTACTACAATAAACGCCGTTATGAGCTTCGCAGGATTCGTTGTAACGACGAAGCTGGTTCCGATGGCGGTGCCTTATATGCTGCGGAGAAACATGTTTGGATACGATATAAACAAGCGAGGTTCCCCGGCTGGAGAAATCAAGATGGAGTATAACGAAAGGCCGCCAGCGATGTTGGTATGTGGTGTAGTTGTGTCAAGGAGGATCGTTTCCAAATGTGATGGTAATGTGAATGGAGTGCAAGTATGCGATCGTTTTCATCGGAAGTCTCAGCTAGTTCGTGCACTCCCATTTTAGTGAAGGTCGGTGGATGAGAAAGGTTGGGGGGAGCGGGTAGGGAGGGGGGAGGTGGGGGGGGGGAGGTAAGGAGGGAGGAGGTGGGGAAAGGGGCAAGTGGAAGTTGGATATCTGTTGATTGCATCGTGATCTGCTGGGACGGTGCGCGGCATCAATATGATAGGCCGTCGTCCATTCTGGTAAATTCAGGGGTGAGTGGAGTGCAAGTAACCCTGCCTGTGCTCGACATCCCCTGCCTGTCCACCCACTCACCCTCCTGCTCTCACTTATTCCCCCTTCCGTTCCTCTCCAGTGGTTGCTCGAGCACAATGCAGCCCTCGCCTGCATCTGCTATATGGCCTTCCTCGGCTTCATAGACGATGTGCTCGACATCCCCTGGCTGCCTGTCCACCCTCTCACCCTCCTGCTCTCACTTATTCTCCCTTCCTTTCCTCTCCAGTGGTTGCTCGAGCACAATGCAGCCCTCGCCTGCATCTGCTACATGGCCTTCCTCGGCTTCATAGACGATGTGCTCGACATCCCCTAGCTGCCTGTCCACCCTCTCACCCTCCTGCTCTCCCCTACCCGCCCTCCCTTGCCCTCCCAGTGGTTGCTCGAGTATAACGCAGCGCTCGCCTGCATCTGCTACATGGCCTTCCTCGGCTTTATTCCTCTGCTCGCCCTGCTCCCCCCCCTTTTGCCTACCATGCCCTCCCTACTCCCTACCCCACCACCACCTCAGTGGTTGCTCGAGTACAACGCGGCCCTCGCCTGCATCTGCTACATGGCCTTCCTGGGCTTTATAGACAACGTGCTCGACATCCCCTGGCGCGTGTGAGTGCTTGGAAGTGGTGCTGTAGGGTGCTAGGGGGTGCCGCGGGGGTGGTGGTGGGGTTGGTCATGGGGTATATTGACGACGTGCTCGACATCACCTGGCGCGTGCGAGTGCTGAGGGATGCTGCGGGAGGGGGGGGGGGGGGGGGGAGGGGTGGGGGTTGATGTTGGGGGTCCATATGGAGTCAGGACTCGTATCAAGGGCGTTGATGGCGCAAGTTAAAGCAACGTGCGCTGAGTTTTTAGCTGACTTGTCTCAAATTCCTCCTCACCCACCCCTCCCAAGCCAAGCTGACTCGTAAGGCACTCCAAAAATCGTCATTCCCAAGCCGTTGCTGGCAGGGCTGGCGGGGCGAGGAGGTGCCCATGTGGGACCTGGGCGTGCTATATAAGGTCTACATGGGCTTGCTCGTTGTCTTCTGCTCTAACTCTATTAATATCCCGGCGGGAGTGAACGGCTTGGACGCAGGGCAGACTGCTATAATTGCTACGTCGGTAAGAGTGGGAGAAAGAGAAGGAGAGAGAGAAAGAGACTGTTGCTTTCTACCATCTATAAACTGCCCGTGTGGGACCTGGGCATGCTGTACAAGGTCTACATGGGCATGCTCATCGTGTTCTGCTCCAACTCCATCAACATCCTGGCGGGAGTGAACGGGCTGGAGGCGGGGCTGACTGCTGTGATCGCTGCAGCAGGAAGAGTGGGAGAAAAAGTGCATGTGGCGTCTGGGGCCGTGCTGCCACGCGTCAGACTACCACTCCCTCCACCTCTCATTCATTTCTCTTTACCCTCTTCACCTGCCTTCTCCCCCCCCCCCTCTCTCCCTTCCCTCCCTCTCGGGTACTGCTGTTCAACATCTGGCAGATAGGCGAGCTGCCAGGCTTCAAGTTGCCTCTCCTTCCCTCTCTCTCTTCTGGCTCTCTCGTCATTTGCCGTTGCCCCTTCACTGTCGGCCCTTTTCTCTCCCCTTTTCTCCCGCGCAGGTACTGCTATTCAACATCTGGCAGATAGGCGAGCTGCCAGGCTTTAAGCTGCCACTGCAGCCCGACATGCAGCAGGCCCACCTCTTCTCCATCGATCTCATCCTGCCCCTCATCGCACGCATGCTCGCTCTCCTCATCTTCGACCGGTGAGTCTCTAATTCCGTTTAATGCGCACTCGTCATGCTCGTAATTAACTGGTAAGTCGTCAACTGGTTGTCCACTGTGCGTCCATTCAGCCTGAAACTTGTCTTTTTTCCATCCTCCTTGGTGCAGGTGCTTTTGAGAAGTAAAAAAGAAAAAAGAAAAAACACACACACACACACACATACACACACACACACACACACACACACACACACACACACACACACACACACACACACACACACACACATGCTTCAGATTATTCTCTTCATTCACCTCGACTTTTGAGTCACATATCAGCCTTGAAGCACAGCTCTTCTTTATCTGCCTTAAAAACACACACACACACACACACACACACACACACACACACACACACACACACACACACACACACACACACACACACACACACACATGCTTCAGATTATTCTCTTCATTCACCTCGAATTTTGAGTCACATATCAGCCTTGAAGCACAGCTCTTATTTATCCACCTTTTCTTTTGAGACGCATCATATGACAACTTCAATTCAAGCATACCGCATCTTGTTGCGGTCCCCACACACACACCTTGCCCTGCCCCCACTCCCCAATTTCTTAGGTATCCCTCTACTGTGTTTGTGGGCGACACATTCACCTACTTTGCCGGAATGACGCTGGCTATGGTCGGCATTTTAGGACACTTCAAGTGACTGCTTCATTTCAGTACCTTCCGTGTCTCAATCTCTTCAACTCCTCTTATCAAACCATCATTAGTTCAATTCCAAAGTCTCTTCACTATCCATTTTGACCTCCTCGTTTCCTTTTTGCATTAAATTGTCAACTGCCCATGCTTTCGTTTCTTTTCCCTTCCCTTCCATTAGTGAGACTCTTCTGTTGCTCTTCCTCCCTCTGGTCAGCAGTTTCATCTACTCCCTTTCCTAAGTGCGTTGTCACTAAAAGAAAGAGAGGAATATTGTTTTTTTTTTTTTTTCAGAGATGTGCTGTCAATACCAATCCTATAGGTCGCCTGATCAAAACACCACCTGCCCAAGTTCGTCTATGCAACGTTTTCCCTCGTCCCTACTCTTGATTTATACACCCCGTCACCCCTCCCGTTCACCCCTTCCCTTCAATCTGACCCTTCTTCTCTGCCCTTGTCGACCACTCTCAGCTCTTCAAGTTCGTGCCGTGCCCAAGACACCGACTACCCAAGTGAGTGCCATGCATCTGCTTCTCGTGAATTGAGACGCATCTCCTCCCTTCTCTCGTGTCGTTATTGCCTCCTTGTCTTCTCCTTTGCTCTGTCCCTCGTCTGGAAGCCACAGGTAGCTTCCTGAGTGCAATGGTGGTTGGAAAGCATGGTTTAGCACCCCCCGCCCCCCCACCCCGCCCCTCCTGCCCCCTTCTCCCCCCCTCCCCCCCCCCTTGCCCACCCCACACCTAGTATGCTCTCATCAATGAAGAGCCCTTTCAACCTGGAATTTCACCCTCGCGTGAGACTTGAAAGCCAATCTGATATTCTCATTTTCTGTTCCCTTTATCCCCTAAAGGTGCCGGTATGGGGCAAAAGGGTCTGCATGAGAGCACGTTTGACCTTGCATCCTACCTTAAAATGAACCAAGGCTGGCTAGAAGATGTTAAAAGGGCCTGGCGTTGCCCCGTTTGCTACCAGCAGCTGCTGTGGTCTGAGATCTCTTGGATAGTCTCAATGGATCCAAGAAGAGCTCAGACCACAACAGTTGCTGGTAGCAAATAGGGCAACGCCAGGCCCTCTTGACATCCTTTATTAGGCCTTGATTGTTTCTGAGGTAGGATGCAAGGTCGAACATGCTCCCCTTTCTCTCTTTGCCTACATCCTTCCCCCCACCAGGTTCGATCCGGCCACGCACCGCCTGAGAGGCAGCAATGGCCTCAACCTGGTCAACCTCTTCCCTTCCCACCCCCCCCCCCCCCCCCCCCCCCCCTCCCCTCCCCTCCCATTTCCCTCTCCATATACTCTGTTCCCTCGCACAAGGTTCGACCCAGCCACGCACCGCCTAACGGGCAACAACGATCTCAACCTCGTCAACCTCTTCCTGCGTCTCTTCGGCCCGTGCACAGATTAGGCACTCTGTATCTGTCTCCTGCTCTTCCAGGTAGCGTTAAAGAATGTGTAGGATTGCAGCTGTGCATAATGATGGGTCTGTGCTGCTTGTTCAGCCATGGTTCGCGCACAGAGGAGCAGCTTTGCGTCCGCCTCCTGCTCTTCCAGGTAGTGTTAGAGGGCTTGAGGGTGGACTGTCTTGAGAGCGGGTGCAGCTGTGCATAATGATGGGTCAGTGCTGCTTCTTCAGCCATGGTTCGCGCACAGAGGAGCAGCTCTGCGTCCACCTCCTGCTCTTCCAGGTAGTGTTAGAGGGCTTGAGGGTGGACTGTCTTGAGAGCGGGTGCAGCTGTGCATAATGATGGGTCTGTGCTGCTTGTTCAGCCATGGTTCGCGCACAGAGGAGCAGCTCTGCGTCCGCCTCCTGCTCTTCTAGGTAGTGTTAGAGGGCTTGAGGGTGGACTGTCTTGAGAGCGGGTGCAGCTGTGCATAATGATGGGTCTGTGCTGCTTGTTCAGCCATGGTTCGCGCACAGAGGAGCAGCTCTGCGTCCGCCTCCTGCTCTTCCAGGTAGTGTTAGAGGGCTTGAGGGTGGACTGTCTTGAGAGCGGGTGCAGCTGTGCATAATGATGGGTCAGTGCTGCTTCTTCAGCCATGGTTTGTGCACAGAGGAGCAGCTCTGCGTCCGCCTCCTGCTCTTCCAGGTAGTGTTAGAGGGCTTGAGGGTGGACTGTCTTGAGAGCGGGTGCAGCTGTGCATAATGATGGGTCAGTGCTGCTTCTTCAGCCATGGTTCGCGCACAGAGGAGCAGCTCTGCGTCCGCCTCCTGCTCTTCCAGGTAGTGTTAGAGGGCTTGAGGGTGGACTGTCTTGAGAGCGGGTGCAGCTGTGCATAATGCTGGGTCTGTGCTGCTCCTTCACGATGGCCCGTGCACAGGAAAAAACATCTCTTCATTCACCCGTTGCCTTCCCAGGGATTGTCTGGGCAGCTGTACATAATGCTCTGTGTGTGCTGCTCTGCATGCATCTGTTTTTGAGTCGATTCCGAAATAGGCTCGTCACTTCCAAGTAGCATGTGGGCAGCTGTAGATAATGCTGGGTTTGCGCTGCTCTGCATGTGCCTCCTGTTCTCCCTCGTGCTTTTGCTGCGCTGGATGGTTATTGCTAAAAAACAGCTATTACTCTGCCTGGTCGTGGTTTCCTGTTCATTCCTTCTGGAATCTCTTCTGTGTCACCCACTTTTGAGACGTCTCAAAAACATCTAATGCTGTGGATGGTCACGCTGAATAATCTCAGACGATTTTTTAGGCGCCTAAAAAATGTTTCCGGAGACTGGATAATCTCATGTTCGTTCTTTCTAATCTCTTCCTCCTGTGTCTCCTAGCGGCACTCATTCACACCCCCTTTCACTCCATACTTACATTTCCTTGCACACTCCCATCGCACTCATGTCTTCATAATTCCTTCGAAGGCACCTTTTGCGCACCCTCCTAGCACACTCTTCCCTCACGTTCCCTCCCCCACACTCCCTCACCACAATCCCTCTTCACAATCCCTCTTCACACTCCCTCTTCACACTCCCTCTTCACATCACGGAAATGACCTCTCCTCTGCCTCACATTACACGCTCACTTTGCCTTCCCTCCCCCTTCCCCATCCCAACCCATTACACTCCCATTTTAATTTCCTTCCCCTCATCCCATACAGGTGCTCTCCGCTCTCCTCTGCTTCTGTGCTCGCCTTGTCCAACAAGGGTGGTACAAATGAGGCAGCCCTCTCAAGCTGACACCACTTTGCAATGACTGTCAGTATGTAATCAAAACTGTACACTCAAAACTGGCTCGTATGTCTATGTGAATAAGGAAGTTGCAAGGATATGAGGAATGGGCAAGGAAGCTCAGCAGTCTTTGGTTTCCTCTTATGTTTTGAGTGAATGGCTGCACTGAAGGGAGGCATCTTATGCAAAAGTCATGTCTTGCCCCTCCTGTTAGCCCTCTCACTGCCAAGATACTCCCAAAGTTTGCTGTTTTGCACAGGACATACATACATCACACATTTATTCCCCTCTAGCTACTCCCTGCACCACACACACAATCCCCTCTAAACCCCACTCACACCACAACAAACCAGCATGTAGCAACTGTTAGAATAGGTAGCTAGGAATGAATGGATTACAAGAGTGTTTGGGTACAAAAGAAAACCCTAAGGGGTGGTACCCCATATTGGCTACCCCAGTAAAGCCTACATATTCTATCATAACACACATGTAGTTTGACACACCCTCATAGACAAAGTGGGGGAGAACAAGGGGTCACAAGACCTGTCAAGAGAAGCAATGCAAGCTCAGGGTGGATCACCACACACTCCGAGCACAAGCAAGAGGGCCACAAGGCCAGTTCACAGACAGAGGTATATATGCAACAACAACAGTGCAGTGATCACTACCTGGCAAGAGAAAACATGCAGGAGTATATATACAGATCACAGTACAACCAAAGTCTACAGCGAGTGAGGAAACGTAGGCATCAGGCCTAGAGCAGTGCAGAAGCGCTGATGATCACCAGCCGGAAGGGCCTTGGTGAACACATCAGCCGTGTTGACCCGGGTGGGCACGTGAGCAACACGAAGCTGACCACGCTGCTGCAACTCTCGAGCAAGTAGCGAAGAGCAATGTGCTTCGTTCTGTGCTCCAGTCTGTGGTCCTGACACAAGGCAATGGCAGCCTTGTTGTCGACGTACGGAACCGGAGGAGAACGAGGCCTCTCTCCCAAGTCGGTCAGCAGATAGGTGAGCCAGCGTAACTCCTGTGCAGCCATGGCTGTGGCGTAGATCTCAGCCTCACAACTGGAGCTGAGAACAGAAGACGAGCGTGTAGACCGCCAAGAATCAGAGCCAGAGCCAAGGCTGAACGTGTAACCCTGTGACGACCGCTGCGTAGCCAGGTCGTCAACCCAAGAAGCGTCTGAGTGCCCAGTGAGGACAACTGAGCTCCGCCCTCCAAGCACGAGCCCCATGCACGATGTACTGCACAAGTAGCACAGTACCGTTTTCGCAGCATCGAAGTGCACCTTTCGGTGCCTACCAGGAGCCACGTAGCGTGCCAGAAGGCCAAGTGAATACGCAAAGTCAGGACGAGTGCAGGTCATCAGGTACATGAGGCAGCCCACTAGCTCTGGGTACGGGCCACTCGGCTCTACAGACTCGTCCGAAGGTGGAGCTGAGAGCGAGTGACCTGTGTCAGAGTATATGCATGTTATCTATGTGTAGGCTGTAGTGGGGTAGCCAATATGGGGTACAGCCCCTTTTAGGGTTTCATACTTGTGCCCAACTCTTTCATAGTTGATTCATTCCTGTCTTTAGATTCTAACATGGTTTCAGAGCAGTAGGTCCGTAGGACTGTTTTTTTTTTCGGGCCTACCTACCGCTACCCCACGACTGTGACTGTGACTGTGCCTGTGACGTGCTGCGCTGCGCGCGTCGTCTGCCTGCTGCCTGCTGTCTGCTGATTGCGCGGTCTGCCTGCTGCTTAGAGCGCGCAGACCTGATTCCTGTGCGCGGCCCGGTTTTTGCCCCGCGCGTCGCCCAAGCTGCCCGAGTCGCGCCTCGGCAGCCCGCGCGCGACTCCTTGCTGCTCTGCGCGCCGCATTCGCAGCCCGCGCTGCTTGCTGCAGCCCCGCGCGTCGCGCTGTAGCCCCGCGCGTCGCGTCCACTGCCCGCGCGTCGCGGCTGCCGTCCTCGCGCGGCCCGCTGCGGCTTCGCGCGCCGCGCCCGCAGCTCGCGTAGCCCGCTGCAGCCCCGCGCACCGTGGCTGCCCCTGTTCGTCGCGGCGCCCCCCTCCCCCTGGACGTCGCCCCGGCCTGTCGCGACGCCCCCCCCTGGACGCCGCCCCTGCCTGACTGTCGCCGTCGCTCCTGCAGCAGCTGCCGCAGAGCGCCCTGCCACGGTCGCAGCCCCGCCTTGCAGAAGCTGCCGCGGAGCCTCCTGCTGCTGTCGCGGCCCCGCCCTGCAGCAGTCCTCGCGGCCCCGCCCTGCAGCGGTCACGGCCCCGCCCTGCAGCAGCTGTCGCGGACCTGCTCTACTGCCGACGCTGCCCTGCTCTGCCGCAGCTGTCGCGGCCCCGCCGTCGCCGCCGTCGTGCGCCTACCCGGCCGCCGCCCGCCGAGCGCCGGCCCTGCTCGCCCGACAAGCGCCTGCCCTTCCCGCCACTGGTGAGCACCTACCTTGTTCGCGCGCTGTCGCGTCATCTGCCTGCCTGCCTGCCTGCCTGCGTGCCGTCTTGCCGCACCTGCCCTGCGTGCTGCTACTGCTGCTAGGCTGGTGCTGCTGCTACTGCTGCTACTTCTGCTACTGCTGCTACTGGCGGTGGCCAGATGCAGCTCCAGCGACTTCCACGCGAGTCTCTTACGCCCCAGCAGCTTCGTGAGTGGTACGCTAGTTGGGGTTGTGGTGGTAGCCGTCGTAGCTGTCGCCGTGGAGCTGGTCAGGTGGGAGCGTCTTGCAGTGGCCAGCTGCAGCTGCAGCGGCGTCCACGCGAGACACTTACGTCCCAGCAGCTTCACGAGTGGTACGCTCAGAGTAGAGGGTCTTGGAGTATCGTTCGCTGCCCGTACGTCATTCGCACAGGTGATCGGGCTGGTCAGGCTTGCGGGACGCTTTGTCACACACAGTCCCGCTGCTTCGCCCGTCTCAGCGACGCCTGGCGTACCGAGTTAACCGACGAGGTTGAGCTCCCCACCTGGCTGGAGCTGCTTAGGCAGAGGGTAGATATCTTTGCTCTTGACTATGATGCTATTCTCACTGCCATGTATGCATTGCCTACTAGTGCTGACGGTGCCTGTTACTTATGCGTACCGCCTGACCCAGGTATTGAGCCTGCTGCTCTAGGTACTGGTGAGGCTGCTGCTCTAGGTGCTAGTGCGTCTCCTGCTCTAGGTGCTGGTGAGGCTGCTGCTCCAGGTACTGGTGAGTCTGCTCTCTCTGGTACTGCGCCTACTGAGGCCTTGTACACCTTCACACTTGACTCAGGTGCTTCTCGCTCCTTCTTTCGCGACAG